CGACATGGTCTAAGCAATAGCTACGTTAGTGTGACACATTTGTGGGTACCGGTATCCTTTGAGTAGTCAAGGAGAATACGGGGTTGCTGTGTGGTGTCATGAAGCACTAACTGACTTTTAGAACCTTTACTTGAACAACTTGCCCATTAGGACGTAGTGAGATAATCGGCTTTGGTGCAGTTCAAAGTTGATTGATACTAGATACTACACTCATTGAGATCTGGCTTCTCGGGATATTTCAGTCTCCGTGAAAGAGGATTACGCTGAAACATGGCCCGATAAGACATATCAGTGATATTGAGATCCCTTAGAACTCGATTACTATTTCTAGGACAGGTTTGAGCCAACTAAACTTCAAGAGAGTACTTACCTATAAGACTCCATGCAAGCCTAAACCTAAGGACTTGTTTGCCTTGTTTGTATATACTTACTTGTACATAACATCATAAACATCATGACATCATACTCATTCTCACTAACCATTTCAAGGATTATTGGGATTTATCTTTGTTCTGTTTTATAGGACATGGCTTCTATCCACAGGAATACTATCCAAGTCAATCTCGTAAGAATTCCTCCTCAACTCAAAGAGTTAGCATCAAGGGTCCCTAAGAGTTCTTTATTCACCGAAAGACATGGTCGCCTCCTAAACTTGGTTACCTCCAACAATGATGTAGATATGATGAAAGTGCTTTTCCAATTCTTTGATCCTCTATACCATTGCTTCACTTTTCCCGATTATCAGCTTATACCAACTCTGGAAGAATTCTCTCAACTCTTTAGGATTCCCATTATCAATCAACTACCCTTCAACGGTACAGAAAGAGATCCAAAACCTGAAGAGATTGCCCAAGCATTACACTTGAAACAATTTGATATCACAACTAATTGGGAAACAAGGAGTGGTGTCAAAGGTTTCTTAGCCAAGTTCTTGTTTGAGAAAGCTCAAGATTGTTGGAAATCTTTGGAATTACAAGATTTTGAAGAAATATTGGCCCTTCTCATCTATGGGATGGTTTTGTTTCCAAACCATGACCAACTCATAGATGTAAATGCTGTCAAAATCCTCATGTCTCGTAATTCCGTGCCTACTTTGTTGGGAGATATCCTACATTCTCTTCACTCTCGCACTATGAGGAAGAGAGGGATCCTCATGTGTTGCACTTCTCTCTTGGAAAGCTGGTTTATTTCGCATCTTCTCTAATCTGTGTTGAAGAACGAGCAAGGTTTGAGGTGGTCCCATAGGCTAATGACGCTCAGACATTCAAATGTTCATTGGTGTTCTCGATCCTTGGAGAATGTTACTATCATCGACCATTGTGGGGAATTCCCTAATGTCCCTTTTCTTGGAATTAGAGGAGGTATCACTTACAATCCTTGCTTAGCTTTACGATAGTTTGGTTATGCCCGAAGGGATGTTCCACATGATATGTTCATCCAAGGAGTGGTATTCGACTACGAGAGCGATGGTTAAGGTTACTGTCAGAGGTTCATACGAGCTTAGAGGATGGTAAGCAAAATGGATAGTAAGACGCTGGGACACAAGAATTCCATTTCCCTCTAGCCTTACCTTAGGTGGGTACGAGCTCGTGCCCAGAAACTTGTGATGCCTTATCCATCCATCTTATCAGTTATCATGGAACCTGTGGTTGAAGGAGATTCCCCGTACACTGTTCTCCATCCTGACATGCCTACTTCTCTCGAAGACTTACAAAAAGGTTGGATTCAGCTAAAGGAAGAACGAGATACTTTCAAAGCTCAATTATACGCTAGTGAGAATAGGGTCTTGGAGCTTACAAAGAAGCTAGAAGAAGAGCGAAGTGTGAACGCCTACCTTGCGCCAAAGAGGATGCGTTCAGTCTTTTTATCTTAGAGAGTTATTTTGTAAGCCCAAGAGGCATGTTGTAATCTTTTCAAACTAATTAATGAAAATTGATGTTTCTTCATTTCTTTTGTCTATACAAATTTAAATTTCATAAATCCTTGAAATCATCTGCATATACATCTTCCATGCATCATAACATGACAGGTTTTCACACATCAGGTTTCCTTATCTTTCTGCTATTTATTTAAGCAAGATGGATCTAGAGAAAACTGTGAAGGACCTTCAGGAACAAAACTCTCAATTCCAAGAGACTCTACTGGCCCTAGCCAAGGGGCAACAAGATATGATGACAATGCTGGCAGTTAAGAAGAAACCCAAGAAGAAAGCCCTGGTCAACATGGGTAGAAGGTTCAAAGAGTTAGTCCGTCAGATCCCGGTAGTGGAAGACTCATCTGAGGAAGATGAGAATCAGATTGGAGATGCTAAGAGTACCTAGGATGGGTGCATCAACATTCAAGCATCTGATGATTATTATTTTAACGAGCAGTATCCCCCTGTCAATGTCAAGTACAAGTAGTTAGAAGATAGATTGAAGGCCGTCGAGATCCAAGTCGTCCCCGGTTTAAATTTTGATGATTTGGGTTTGATCTTTGGGATTGTTATTCCTCACAAATTAAAAATACCAGTATTTGCAAAGTACGATGGAGTTTCTTGTCCAAAACTTCACCTGAAATCTTATGTGCGCAAGATACAGCCGCACATTGCTGATAAGAAACTCTGGGTTCACTTTTTTCAAGAAAGCTTGACTGGGACGCAACTAGAATGGTTTTATCAGTTAGATGGTTCACATATAAATATATGGGAAGATTTAGCCACTGCATTCTACCACTAATACCAGTATAATGCCGACTTGGCGCCAACAAGTGTTCAGTTACAAGATATGACAATGGGGAAGAATGAAGTAATTAAAGAATATGCACAAAAGTGGAGAGACCTTCCTAGTAGGGTTCAACCACCTTTGACTGATAGGGATCACATTGACATGTTTATGGGCACTTTATCTGGTCCATTATTTAATCTATTGGTTGGCTGTTCTTCTTCCGGTTTCATCGAATTAATCTTAACCGGTGAAAGAGTTAAAAGCGGCATCAAAAGTGGGAAGATTTCCATGGCATCTGCCTCCACTTCCAATCTTGTGAAGAAACCTTTTGTCGCGAAGAAAGAAAGCAATGATGTGTACGGGGCAAGGGCCCGTACCAAGAAGGATGACCGCCAGTCTGTTAATGTTGTTCGAATCTCCAATCCACCTCTTACTCAAAGACCATCTGCTAATCATCAACATTTTGAAACTCCAAGAAGACAATTCACGAGGTTAGGCATGTCACTATCTCAAGCCTTACAACACTTGCTAAAGGCTAAACTTCCAATTGGGTTCTCCTCTTTAAGTTATGGTATATTAATTGGACAAAATAGTGATATTATTACTGTTGAGGATGAAGTTGGCGTTGCTTCTGGCTTGCTGAATTTCAATTAAAAATTCTTTGTTGGAAAATAAGTCCCTGACATTACGTTTCTCAATGTTCCTAGTATTGATGAATCTGATTTAACTGTTGATGAAAATATGGTTGATGTGACACCTAAGCATAGGCATGTGAGAAGTCATATTCTCAAGGAACTTATCTATGAATCCAAGGCTTTGCAGAAAATCATTGTCACATCCATTGCTAGAAAAAGTGTTTGTAATGTCTTATTAAAATGTTAAGTCCACAGGTTGTTGGTACTTCTTTTTCTCAGTCTTCTATTCCAAATGTTAAGAAAGATGCTATGACAATGGATCAAGATGAAGATATGTCAAGTGCTGAAGAGGAAAATGGCGACGAGGATGACTATGAAACTTCTTCAGATGATGATTCTTCTACTTCGTCCTAACTATTTGTTTATTGTTTTGCTGGGTTGGAGTCCTGTTTAATTACCTTCTCATGATCTTAAAACCTTAGGATTAATTTATCATTTTTCTGCTACATGCCTAGAGATGACGGTTTACAAGTCTTGGTGGTGGAGACTATAGTTGTTTGAATGGATCTTCACCGATTGTGTCTACGACAAAAGTTGAGGAAGAACTTGATTTAAAGAATTTTGAGGATTTTTCTTTTGAAGTTGCTTCCATCTTAGCGTATTGATCAAAGTGGTTGAGGTTTGATTTGGAAGAGATCTGATTGAACTAGCAAGGATCTCATCGAATTAGAGATCGATTATGGAAATTCGTAGGAATCAAACGTCTCTCTTAATCAACGTCATTTTAACGATTTGAAACTAGAATTATTGATGAAGATCCTGTGCGTGGTGGTGTGATCCGCTCAAACACGGATGCGCGAGGTGGACTTATAAATTAGTACCCCAATACCATGTCAATTGTGAATTATGAACTAAAAACATACATTTTTCTGCTCAAATGAAAATATTTATGTAGTAGACTAAATTAGATCTTCCTTATATTAGACCTGAGATTGCTCCATAACAACTATTACCGACACTTTAACTAATTTTAATCTTTTATTTTCTAATTTAGTCTACAAACTTAGTTTAGTAATAATAATTTGATTTTTTATTTTCAAAAAACAAAATTAAAATTATTTACAAAATAGTAGTAAAATAATCATTATAAACATAATTATGGAGTAGTTAGTACTCTCTTTATTCAATATATTTAAAAAATGATTTTATTTTTTTTATAAATAAAACCGGATAGTAATTATAAAAGGGATGGAGTACTACGAATTGTACTCATTCCTATTAATCCTTTATTAGCCATTTATAGTGAGTCAGTATAGATATTTTTATAACAAGTTTTTCAACAACAATGACAATTTAAGAAAAGAGATAGGATATTTTGATCACGTTGTTCATTTTGAGCCAAGTGTTTCTCTTTATGGGTCACACTTTCTCTCTCTATCTGTACCCTCTATTCTCATCTGCTTACCTTTCTCTTTCTAAATAATTCATAACCAAGCACATTTCTGCCTTCAACAGCTAGCCAACCAACTTTCGTTTCACATTTCTAAAATATCCACACTCACCTGTTACCTTCAACCTATATATACAAAACATTACTCTTCACTCTTATAACACCAAATCTATCTACACTTCCCAATTTCACTCTCTCCAACACATAAATATGTTTCCAACTAACAACTCTTCCACTTCACAACCTTCCACTTCCTCCAACACATCATTGCAAAATATAGAAGTCTTTCAAGGGAAGTCGGGTTTCAAAGAGGAGATGCGGTTAGCTGCTACTACTCCAAAGAAGCGTGCAGGAAGGAAGATATTCAAGGAGACTCGGCACCCGGTGTTCAGGGGTGTGAGGAGGAGGAATTTAGATAAGTGGGTTTGTGAAATGAGGGAGCCTAACAAGAAGACTAAAATTTGGCTAGGAACTTTTCCAACTGCAGAGATGGCTGCCCGAGCTCACGATGTTGCTGCAATGGCGTTGAGGGGCCGCCATGCTTGTCTCAATTTTACAGACTCGTTGTGGAGGCTCCCTATTCCTGCAACTTCTAGTACAAAGGATATACAAAAGGCGGCTGCAGAAGCTGCCGAGGCTTTTAGACCGGACAAGAATTTAAAGACTAGTGATATTGAAACAGTTGTAGCTGTTGTCCCCGGTGAGGAGTTGATTAATATGTTTTGTGTTCAAGAGGATGAAGAGGAAGTGTTGAACATGCCAGATTTATGGAGGAATATGGTGTTAATGTCTCCTACACATAGCTTGGGATATGATGAGTATGAATATTTTGACCTAGACTTTCAAGATGATGAGATATCACTTTGGAACTTTGAAATTTGATGAATTAGGTTATTTTACTTTTTCTTTTGTGTGCATTGTATAATTGAAAAGTTTGTACTACACCTTTTTTTAGTAGTAGTATGGATGCTTCATGTACATAGCTTGAAATTGAAAATGATTTTGTATGCAGTTTCCTTATGCTTCATTAAAGAGTAATGAATGAAACTTGAATGGTTATTCTGAAAGGTGTCTTTCTAGCTAGCAGAAAGAGTAAAAAAAAAGCCTCACCAGTAAAATGCTTTCCTTATTTATGAAACTTAGAAAAACTGTTGGGAAATAGAAACTTCATTAACTTGCAATCAAAGTGTGTTGATTGCAGTTAATCTAGCAAGTGTACTAAATAATGCAAGTAATAATATCGTGAAATCCCAAATGTCTTTGAACTCAAAGAAGGCATAGGTTTATAGAATCTGTATCAGTTTTTGGATGATCAAAGTAATGGAGTTTGTTGAAGATTTGTTTCAATAATATAAAGTGAAAGTAAATTAAATTGAATCGAATGTAATGTTGTTGAAATATGTCAGCATGAGTAGAACATTTAATCCCTTTTATACTTTAAATTGAGCTTGTTATAATCTATTTTTATTTTGTAAGATTACTTTTCTATATTATTTATTCCTAATTCTTTAATGAATACACCTTTAGTCTTAAATTAATTCTCTATGGTTATTAATTAATAACATATAAAATTAAGCATTTAATTATTATGAACAATATAATATTTGTTGAGATATTAAATATAACATCAAATATAATTCAAGTTAGATATGTTGAAATATTAAATATAATATAAAATATAGTTCAAATTGGTAAGCTCAAATCTAATTAGGGTTGTATATAAATAGTCATAATTTGTATCATTATTTGTTTAATTCAAGTGAATAATATAATCCTTATTTCCTTATTATTCTCTCTTTCTCGCCTCACTAAAAGTGCCTCACACACTAACAAATTGGTATCCAGAGTTTTTGGTTATTGTTCTTGATCGTGTTTTCAAGAACTTCACGTCAGATATCGTGTTTCTAGGGCAAATAAATCAATCGCTACAAAGATGACTGGTGATAAGAGTATTCCGAAGTCTCTTCCAATGCTTGACGACAAAAATTAGATTTGATGAAAAAACATATGCAATCCTTGCTTGACTTCTAAGATACCCTAGAAGTGGTTACTACGGCGTTCCTGCGTTGGTTGCATATGCAACTGAAGCACAGGAAACTTTCTGCAATGAAGTCAAGAAGAAAGATTGCAAGACTGGTTATTGCATTTAGACAACAGTTGATATTGCTAACTTTGACAGAATCTCTCATGCTGAAACGGCGAAGCAGACATGAGATGTTATGGTCAAGTATTATGAAGGAGATGAGAAAGTCAAGGTTGTCATGTTGCAGACCTTGTGTCGATAATATGAATCATTGTCGATGGGAGAAGAAGAAAAAGTTGCAGAATATGTGTCGAAGGTCCAAAAACTCGTCCATCTCATGAAGGGTCGTGGTGAAACCATAACTGATAAGATGATAGTTGAGAAGGTAATGCGAATATTGACCTCTCATTTTGATCATATTATCGTAGCTATTCAAGAATTCAATTAACTTGAAACCCTAAAACTGGAAGATTTAGTTGGTTTGTTGGAAGCGCATGAGATTAGGATTGTCGAAAGGAAAAAAGTTCAAGACTCGATACAAGCTTTGCAAGTTCATTCATAGAAAAATAATGACGATTCCAACAAATACAAAGGCAAAGTCGACAAGACTCAAGGAAAAAAGTCCTAATTGAATCCTCACACGCATCAGGTCGAAGATAGAGCTTCTTAATCCTCGAAAAGAGGAAGAGGAAACTATCGAAAGGACAACGAAGATAAGAAAGGTATGCATTGTTATAACTATGAAAAGTGGGGTCATTTGGAAAAAAATTATTGGTACAGGAAAGGCATGGGATCGACAGACAAGGACGAAGGAGCGAACCTTCACTACTACAAATAATACATATGATGACGCCATATTTACCACGGTCCTTCAGGGAACCGTACTGACATCTCTAAACCCAGGTGCTAACATTTTTTGTTTTTTTATTAAAAACTATTAACATAAAATTACGGTTGCAGCCATAGTCGTAGTTATAGAATCCATGTTTTCTTAGGTTCGATACTCAGTATCCTCAAATATATTATTCATTTAATGTTAAGGCGCGTGTTTTCTATTTTATTTATTTTATATATATATAATAAAGAGTTACTACCACGATTGGCAACGTTAACCGTTGTGAGTATATTTATATATAAACAAATTAACTCTCGCTCTTTTACAGTAGCGCCATATCTATCACAACAAAATCGTAGAACCTATTTTTTATCTTCTTCTTCATCATTAGCCTTCTTATTCTACAGTATAGCCGTCAATCTTGTTCTTCTTATATAAAGGTATTTTTCTTTTTCCTTATTCTCTCATTTTCGTGTATGTTGTTGTTATGTTTCACTAAGTTTTCCTATGAATTTGTCTTGTTAGATAGTTTATGGCTCTTTTATTGTTGTATGTTATTCTATGTTGTTGTTGCATGTTATGTTGTTGATAAATAAGTTTGCGGTTTCACATGTTGATAATTATCTTGGTTTTTGTAAGACTCAAGAAAATTGAATGAAGAAACAACAACAACATCAAAGTTCATCTAGTTTTAGAAGCAATGAAAATAAGTATAAGAAGTATAAAGCTATTGTGTTAACTTCATCCATCTTATATGTTTTTTTCATTGTTTCACAAACTAGCAAGTTTTTATGGTTCGTTACTTATTAGTTAAAGCTTCAAGAAATGGTTAGTTATTCAGTTCTCCCAATCTATGTAAATTAATTTGATGTTTTTGTTGATAAATGTTGTTATAGAGTTTGTTATATCATATGAGGTTGCTTATTTCACTAACTCCTCATTGAGCTTTCACTCATTTAAAAAGATTTTTAAGATGATAATTTAAAAATTTAAATTATTCTTGAAAATCCACTTATACCATCCAATGTTTTTTCCAATTGCATGCATCTTTTAAATCATAATTCTCTCTTTAGCGTATAGAATTCCATTCAACGTCACAAATTCTTCAAAACAATGTTCATCAATGGATTCCATTCAGGGTCTTTCACACAAAACTCGATGTTTAAAACATAAATTAGAAAAGACGAGGAAATCAAAGTTTATGTGAAAGACTCAGACTGATATCCATTTATCAACATTACTTTGAAGAATTTGGAATTGAATAAAATCCTATAAGTTAAAAGAGGAAATCATGATTAACAGGATGTTTGCAATTCGAAAAATATTGGATCTTTTAAGTTGTTTTTCAAAAATAACTTAATTTTTTTTATTATTGTCCCAAAAATCTATTTGAATGGTTGTATATGGTTAATAAGGGAGTGAGAAAAACAAGTAATCTCATATTTTATGAAAAACTCTTATATATACCACAACGGTTGGAATGTTTAACTGTGGTGAAAGACTATTTTTATGCGCTTCAATTTTAATTGTACCTGGGTGTAAGTGTTTAGTTATTGGCATGTATTTTTGGTAAAACCAGGTGTGTGAATGTCATGACTGATGTCATAACATTCTGGGTTATTAGGTACTTTATGCAGAAAAAGAATGGCATACAGAAGTTGCTATTTATGAGTGTGTATCTGAGCATTTTGCAATGATCACATTTATTACTTTCTACCAAAATCAGTAAACAGGATTTCTGTTGTCATAACAAATGTTAAGACATCCTGTACTGATCTAACAGTTATGCACTTTGGTTAATTCTGAGATTTTTCAGGAATTTGGTTCATACATTCCAGAACAGAATCTCACGTGGACTTTAGGTTAACTGAGCTCAACCCTAATCTGGTTGATAAAGTCTTGTGACCAAGTCTTGAGGTTAACCCTAATTAACCCTAGCTTTTCGTGGAAGCCCTAACTAAAGAAACAGCTGCATATATATTCAACAGGAAATCTGATTGGAAATTAACTCTTTGACAGAAGATCAATTAGGGGCTGTATAGTTTTAACTGCTGTATTCCAAGCAAGTATCATTGTGATAAGTGACTTGGAGTAGGTTTTGATTGTAAGGGTTGTGTATCACTCAAAGCTTTGAAGCAAGAGTGTTTGTGTCACTTGACTAAAGCTTTGAAGCAAGGTCAAGTTAGGTTTATGTATCACTCAAAGCTTTGAAGCACGAGTGGTTGTGTCACTTGATTAAAAGCTGTGAAGCATAATCAAGTATATGTTCTGAAGAGTGTCTTCATTAATTCATTAGTCAATTGTTTAGTATCACTGCTGTGATTGAGGGGGAGTGAGTAGGAACTCAGGTTTAAGTTGAACTTAGATTGAAGTTGCATTGGGTAGGTCTTAAGTGAAGGAGATAAATTGGTTGGTTTATTCCTGAATTAATATTTCTTATAGTGGATTTCCTCCCTGGCTTGGTAGCCCTCAGAGTAGGTGTTGTTTCACACTGAACTGGGTAAACAATTGACTGTGTTCTTTACTGTTTTTTTATTTACTGTCTTATAGAAAGTCAGATATGGTGTCATAACATTCACTGTGACATTGAGTATCTGCTGCCAGAATTTCAATTGGCATCAGAGCAGGCACCCTGCATGTCTTACTGGGTGAGATCTAGGGATATCACTTTCTGGCTCTATGGACAAAGAAGGAGTTTTTGGAAACAGACCACCCATTCTGGATGGATCAAATTATGACTACTGGAAACCTCGTATGATTGCCTTCTTAAAATCACTGGACAAAAAGGCTTGGAGAGCTGCTGACAAAGGATGGAACCATCCCACCATAACTGAGAAATATAGGACAATCAGTCTGAAGCCTGAGGAAGAATGGAGCAAAGAAGAAGATGAGTTAGCTCTGGGTAATTCCAAAGCATTAAATGCCTTGTTCAATGGAATTGATTGAAACATATTCAGACTAGTACATCAATGTGAACTGGCCAAGGAAGTTTGGGACACTCTCAAAACTACTCATGAGGGCACA